GTGTGTGTGTGTGTGTGTGTGTGAGAGGCTACCTCGGAGTATCTTCAGGATGACTCTGACTGTCCTTGAGTGGCTCAGCTAAAGTCCAGTCTTAAAGACACAGACGCTGATAGAGTCTGACGCTCTGTTGTTGACACCCTGTCACAAGCGGACAGCTCTACGTACATCGGTTCACAGCACATACGTGAGTTTAACGCTGGTTTTGTGTTGAGCCAACATGAATAAAACAATATATTAGAGACAGAGGAGTGTGAAAATATTTTGGGTTCTTTATAAAGAAAGAGATGAACAGTGTGTGTGTGTGTCACTACCCACCAGTGCGGCTGTGTTCCCTGGCGAGGATGTCTGCTGGGCATACGGAGGGGGTCGCTGTTCTCTCTTCTTCTTCTTTCCTCCTCCTGCTCCTCTTCCTCCCTCCGGCTCTTCCCCTCTGTCTTCTGTCCCGTCGGTCTGTCCTGAGAGGGCAGCAGCTGAGTCTTCACCTTCTCTGACAGACTGTCTGTGTCTTTGTAGACACTGTGAAGAAAGAAACTTACCTCTTAGCTAAATTGATCAATTAAAAGTTTCACTTGCTTTAACATTCAGAGAAAGGACATGAATTCATATTTCATGGTTGTACGCCTCCACTAACCAGTGTGGATTCAATCTCCATACATTTTTCAACAGACTCATTGTATTAGTGTAAGCAATCTGGTGCAGAACCAACTAAAAACCCAGATCTATCAGATTTAAATGTGGTTTCACGAGGAGACTGTTGGGTCTTGGTGGAGGTATGAGCTCGACTGAGTTACACTCTCTTATCCATGATGTAAAAACAAAGAATCACAGACCAACCTGTCAAACGTGTTCAGCTGCTCAGCATCCACATGATCGCTGAAGTTCACTGTCAAGTCTGACACCTGCTTTGTGCTGGAGTTCTTCAGACACACGTGTACGGAGGGTTAACAAGGACAGAAAAACAGACATGCAAACATGTTAACACACATATACACACACACACAAGATCAATACATGTTGCTGATCAAAGTTTAAACATGAAAAAAACATAGTGACAGAAATATCAACTGAAATCTGACTCCAACAAACGAGGACAATATCCAACTGAAGAGGTGGAAACATGGCAGAGCAGCTTCAAGCCTGAAAGCCTTGGAAGAATTTGATGTTGTGGGTGTTTTGGGTGTCAGTTCGTACTAGATGAATCCAAATGAAATTCCCAATATCTCTGTATAAACCAGCATTTTCTGAATATTTGACCTTTCACGTCTACATCACTGCAGCTCAGTGAGAACTTGCTCTGACCACCAGAGGTCAGCAAAGACAATGTTTATACAAAGCTATTCATTTTTATTAGCCATATAAACAGCTTTAGCAGGAATCTTGTATTTTTCAGATTCAGATTTTGTGTATGTAGACATAGTTATTGAATGCCTGATTATCCAGGTTACTGAGGTGACAGTTCATTTATTTTAAAGTGTGTGTGTCCTAATCATTTATCATTCTTGTCCACTGGAGCAGTGTGTCAACATTCAAAAGGAAAACCAGCCTCCGCCTCCTCTAAGATCTCATCTTGTTGTTGGTGTGAGCTGAGCGAGCTCACCATCAGGTTGAAGATCAAGCTGGAGTCAACAGTGATGGCTTTGAGCAGCAGTTGTGTGTCACTGTCGCTGGCTTTATATCTCAGACTGTACAGCTCCTTGTTGCTGCTCCAGTCGGCAGGAAGAAGCTCGGATTTCTTATCAGTGCTGAGGGGCTGTAAAGAGAGGGAGAGAGACAAAGAAAATAAATAGAAAGAGACATAATATAAAGAGAGGGAGAGAGACACAGAGAATACATAAAGAGAGGGAGAGAGACACAGAAAATAAATAGAAAGAGACATAATATAAAGACAATATAAAGAGAGGGAGAGGGACAGAAAATAAATAAATGAAGAGATGGAGAGAGATAATATAAAAACAATATAAAGAGAGGGAGAGAGACAAAGAAAATAAATAGAAAGAGACATAATATAAAGACAATATAAAGAGAGGGAGAGAGACAGAGAATATAAAGAGAGAGAGACAGATAATAAAGAGACAGTAAATATAAAGAGAAGGGGGAGTGGTTTAGCTAGCTACAGATGACATGACAGATTTTATAGTTATTATATTTATGGCTTTAATTGAATAAACTTGATTCTGTATCAAACAACCTGTTCAATCGAAGACACAACACGTGTCAGATGATCACAGTTCAATAGATTTACAAATGAAAGCTAACGCTAATCCAACCTGCGCAGGAGACACGTTAGCGAGCTCAGGACTCCGTTGGAAATATTTAGAATTTAAATCCTGACTTGAAGATTAAGAGTCAACATCAAATTCAAAAAGGATCGCATTTAGAGCCACGAATGATTGACAGCAAGTCTTCAATTCGGCGTACGAATAATTTTCAAAACAAGCAGGTAGTTAGATGAAGATTCAGATCAACTTATTACACACTTCATATGAGCTCCATCACTAAACGAGCGGTTGAAGCCAAAGTTTTTGAAGCCGAATCATGGATCACGATCAGACAAATATCACGTGACATTAATAAATATAAAGACTAGAACCGATAATCACCGCAGCGTAAATCTGTTGTATTCTGACCGGAGTCTGGTGCGACACGAAGCTAACAGCTGGGTTCTCACCTCATCTCCGGTGCCGACGCAGCGGAGTCCGCTCTTTATCATCTCCCAGTGGACGAAGCACACCACGGCGTCCTGGGGGCAGCTGATGCCGCCGGAGACACAGGTGAACAGCACCTCCAGACCCGCCATGTTCCCTCCGAACACCGAACAACAGACTCGTCCGGTTCTGGAAAAACGAAATCGAAAGTGTCCATAAGAAGCGGCGAGCGCTTCCTGTCTGAGCTTTTCAGTGTAAAAGCTCAGCAACAACGTCAACGAAGCTGCGTGGGGAAAATAGAATAAAACAAAAACATAATTTCATCTGATTTGTGATTTATATAATAACTGTACTTTGCATCAATCTAACTGTCAGATGTCATTTAGCAGTAGTAGATAAAGTTTATTTCATTCACTGACCAAACAAAAGTATTTATATGCAAACACAAACTCTCACATCTTGCATGAAAAGGCGTAGAAAGAAGAATAATCTCATACAATCTGCCCCTTAATTCACATTAATTAACAAAGCAAATAATTAAATACAATTAAAAATTAAAACACAGTTCCTAAATTACAAATAATTTTATTCCATTAAAAGAAGCTCACAAAATCATTTAGTTGTCCCAACAGAAGAGGACAACACTTAATAAACACAGTTCGTTGTATTTGCTCAACACACTGGCTTTAATTGTTTTTTTAAAAAAATATTATTGTTTTAGATTCTTTGGTTTCACAGTGGAGCAACGTACAATTCAGAAAAAACTAAAGATAAACAATAAAGTTGGATCTGATCAAAAAACTTTTCTGAGAACAGAAAAATAATCTGGATTTAAATGGATTTTGTTTGAATAGAAGGAAAATGTCCCTGTTTGATAAATCTAACTTTACAGCCTTTTGTCCGTGGTGTTTTGATCCGACACATAAAAAGTCCGGACGGGACAACATGCTGAGGTTTCATCGTTCCGCCTTCCAAATATAGAAAAGTAGAGATAAAGGTTGATTCATAACCAAATAAAATGTGATCAGATATCATTTAAATACACTTATTAAAACATAGAAAAGCATAAAGAGCTGAGTTAATATTTGTATTTACATTAAACACCATTCTCTGTTTGTTACATACTGATAAATCTTACATAAACAAGGACTAATAATCACATGAATAATAATAATAATAATCAAATC